AATTGGACGCAGGAGGCTGTATGTTGCTGTATGTTGAGACATGTTCATGAGTGCATAGTAGCCACCAGCAGCACGTCTGTTGATTCAGTTGTTCATTCGTACTGACAGTGTAAAGTGCGGACTATGGCATGCTGGTCACGTAGCGAGATAGTGGCAGCCCTCCGGTTTACTTTATGCGTGGTTTAAGCATAGACCAGGGCTTAGAAGGAATGACGCTTGCATTAAAGAATGATTGTCTTCATCGTACGACTATAGATATTCAGGTGGTTCAGAGAATTCCAAAGGGGCAATTTCACTCTGGAGGTCGCTGAGAGGGAAGGAAGGCCGCGAACGTCAGTAACAGAGGAAAACATTACTGCTGTCTGAAAGATGCTTGATGAAGAGCGGAGAGTGACATACCAACAGATAGAGTAAGCCTTACACCTTCATGCACCAGCAATTCATTCAATTCTACATCACTATTTACACGTAAGGAAACTTGTTCTCTCTGGGTAACACGTAGTCTGACGGAAGAGCAGATGCCTCGTACAACTTGGTGCCGAAATATACTGAAAATGTTTGATAAGCGGCAATCTCGGTATATGAACAGCATCGGGACAGGTGACGAGACTTGGCTCTATTATTACTATGTATCGACCAAGGCTCAAAACAGAGTTAGGGTCTTTGATGATGAAGACACACCCGTGGCTGCCAGAAAATCCCGACCTGATAAGAAGAAAAATATTGCCGTATTTTTCAAATAGAGCGGGATTGTGGAGTATGTCGTTTTAGTCACACAGAATACAGTCAGAGCTATGTCGTACACGGAAGAGTGCCTGCCTAAAACCTGCGGCCAGAGGCAAGAATGGACACTTGGTACCTCCCCAATGACAATGCTACAGCTCACCGCCCCAAAGCCTGCACATAGTATTTGACCACTACTGGACTGAAACTTATTGAGCACCCTCCTTGTAGTCCAGATCTTGCTCCCTGCAACTTTGCTCTGTTTCCGCATGTGAAAATAAAGCTAGAAGGGAAACGGTTTTTTAACGATGAAGACATTCTGAGGGCTTGGGACAACAAGTGTGTCGCACTCCCTGGTAGAACTTGGCAGATCTGGTTTTGGCGGATGGAGAGCATATTGAATGTGGTGGACATTACGTTGAACGAAGTCAATAAATAAAGGTGTATTGCATACTTTTATAATACCCTTTGTACTGTAAAATAATTTTGCAAACTCCATACAGAATGTACCTTCAACTCAAAGCTAATAATTAATTATTCAACTCCTTGATGTATACAAAAATAAACCGTATATTAAAGGCAAGCATCGGTTCTATATCTGTAATGAAAATATGTTAGTCCATGTTCCATTAATGGTATTAGCTACAGAAAATTCATTAATTATTTATTTCCCAATATACAGCGAGTAGCCTTTTAATAATCAATTGTTTTTGTTCCAGGTGAGCTTTACATACACAAAACTCGATAGAAATAGTATTTGAGGTGAGTTCAGCTACGTAACTTCCGCAATACAGGAAATTAATTTCACTGGGTTTTAATTAATCCTAGGTCACATACTTCATTTCACTAAAATACTGGTGCTATAACAGTAAATTGTCAGAATCGCACTGAGCAAAACAAAGTATCTACACATTATCAGACAGTAACAGGCAAAAGTAGAGGTGAAGGAGTTCCGCTCGTAATTAAAAATACCTTCAAGGCAAGAGAGTTGGTGTTCAAAGGAGTATGAGACCTACTATGAAGCTATGGAACAGTTTACACTCATGGAAGCATTTTTTGCAATTCATTGGATGGATGGTTTTAATTTATCAGATCTCTCTTTTGATGACATCTCGGATGCCAATACCTCTGTGGCTGATGCTCTCTTTCTATGGGTTGGCTCAACTCAATAGTATCCAGTACTTTTGGATCTGCTTTTCAGCAGCCGTAATGTGCGTGTTCAATGTGTTTGTGATATCTTACTGCCGACTGATGGTCACAATCCTGATTTGACTTTTGAGCAGCCTCTTTGTGAGGACTTTGTTCCATTGAAATTTGAATAGCAAGTTTTTGATTTTTATAACTGTGATTATATAGCTATTAATGATTTTTACTTGCTGTTAATTGGTATATAGCTTTAAGTGTGAGGTTAACTTAGCAAATTTTATTTTGTTATTAATGAATGCCTAAACAGATTTGTTCCTAAAAAATGTATCAGAAGTGATTTTAGGTTTGCAAAATGGTTCTCATTTGACCTAAAAATTGTGTTTGAAGAAAGAAGTGCATAAGCAATATTTGAGCACTACAACGAATTCTATGAGCTTCACTCCATATGTAAATACCTAACTAGAAAGTCATTTAGAATATATAAAAAATATTGAATTGGGCATACATGATGATGTTAAGAAATTTTGGTCGTATATTGAAGATAAAAATTGTATACCTCAAATTATGAGTTTTAAGGAGAAAACGTTCTCAACTGGTAGAGAATACTTCTAGTATGTCAGTTGTAAACATTGCCACCTTTATGTTTAACATATCTGAAATTATGGCTGCCCTTAGCAATCATGATATTAGTAAGGGGCCAGGCTTGATGGTCTCACTGCACTATTCTTTAGTAATTGCTCTTGCTCATTGGTCAGACCCTTATAGCTTATTTTCAATAACTCTCTTAGCAGATTAATTTCATAAATCAAAAATATCTTTTCAATTCACAAATTAATAGAATCTATAATCTCTGAATATCTAGAATGTCAATTGAAAAATACAGTTATCACAAATGAACATGGTTTCGATGAGGGTAAGTCCATAACAACAAATCTTTTTATTTATACTCAATTTATATCGGAATGCTTAGAACGCGGTAATGTGGTCTACCCAATTTATACAGATTTTTCAAAAGCTTTTGATAAGCCCAACTTGATTGGTTAAAATCATTCCTAAGTGATAGACGACAAGTTGTCAGGGTGAATGATTATTATTTGTCTGATATTATTTTTCCACAGGGAGCACATATTGCACCACTGCTTTTTAATTTATATATGAATGATATAAGTGATTGTTTTTTATACTCTTATGCTATTTTATATGGTGATGATTCAGAAATATTTTCCGAAATTGGTAATGTAGTATATGTATACATCTCTTGTCAGATCTCATTTAGAAGGGTCTACTAGTACCTGGAGCCCCTGCTATCAAGTCCACATTGATAAATTGCATTCTATTCTGAGATAATTTATTAAATATATAGCTTTTAAAATAAACATCCCCAAGGACTGCATAAGGTATGGGGATATGGAATCTGACGTAAAACTCAACAGTCTGGTCAAGCATACAGAAAATTTCGACACCCTTTTGTGTCACAAAATTATTACCGGACTAATAAATAGTCCCGAACTATTGGACATGATAAATTAAGAGGCTAGAAGTCATTCAAACTTGCTCAACATCGCTCCCTATGCGATCAACACACGCCCCTAAATAATATGTTGAAAAATGCAAACAAATTTCTGGGCGATATGTCCATATATCCCATGATTCCCTCAAACAAACCCTGAAAAATGTTATCTAACCTATTATATATCTTATTTCAGATTGCGTTGTACTTTACTTTTAATACGTTGGCTGTCTTAAATTTTATTTATGTGGACATTAATTTTAAACTTGTTTTTATTAATATTTAGTGACTATGGTTAACTCATTAATTTAAATTGAATAACATTGTAACATTGGGCTTCTTCCGTGAATGCATGAATAAATAAATAAATTATTGGAATATAATTATACATACAGGCTGTTTGGCAGTACATATTAAAGTTGTAGCTATAACAGTATTGAGCTGGGTATGCAACATGTTTTCTATGAGCTCTTTTATGTTTTGTCATTTCCTGTGTATAGATTCAGCTATTTTGAACATATTATGGCTGGCACGGGAACAGTTCTTCATTTATTCATTGCTAGGGGACGGTCCATTTATTTTTATTCATTGTACATACATCAAAATAACCAAAACGTCTGATTTTAACCGGCTGAAGAAAAAAGTTATGCATGTATCTCGAGTGAGTTAAGCATTTATGCCCCTTTCTGTGTCAAAGTTCTAATTTCACGCAGCTAGCCTTAACCGCCCTATCAACGACTTGCATACATACTTAAATTTCATACTGACCTGCAGGGTTATTACGTAATAAAACTGCGTAATGTCAGAAAAACTGAGAAGACGTCAAGTCAAGTTGTTGACTAGATAGCTGGTAGTGTGCAAATAGTTCGACCGGCACAAGTAAAAAACCTACCAAACGTCAAAAAAACAAAAGATGTCAACTTGCAGACTAGGTAGTATTTAGGGCGCAAACAGTCATTCCACGTCTGCTCACTATGATCGTTGTGAACTGCCATCTATGGAGGAATCACTCAACTAAACTACACACATTATTGGTTTTGTGAGGGTGAGTGATCCGGGTCTATAGTTTTTATCTCTGAGAAGAAAGTTGGTTGAATAGCAAGATCGCGTCTGAATGATTATGTGTATTGGTCTGCATGTGTATAAAATCAGTGATAATTGCTGTGTGAGAAAATCATTACTGAATATGCCGAATAAGACGGGTTATTTATATGTTGTGCTTTCTGAAGAGAGGTTATGCTCAAAGTTATAAATTACGAAAAACTGAGGAGAATTACGGGAAATCATGACCACGCCCGCATTGGGTGTAATTACTGTTAACATGTATATGGATTGTAATTCGACAGTGTACGGTGAATATAATTATTTCTTATCTCTCTCATTTTTGAAATTCGGCAAATTTGTATATGTAATTGAAGGGCTTATTGTAATAACATGATAAGCCACACAACGACAAAAATCTGTTTTATTCCTCAATTTAGTTAAGCATGAATATGATAAGCCACAGTAGAAAAGTTGTGACTATTGTCCGATAGATGGAGCCACTATGCCTTGAATCAAGTGATTACTATTAGGCGGCTCTCTACAATCTTCACGTTAAAACGTGATAAGCCACGTCAAAATGGCGACCGGTTCGTATGCACCTCTCGATGATAATCCTATTTCAAGCGATATTTGCAGTTCAAGCAGTGAATTTTATGAATCAAGTGATGATAGTGTGGTTGATAAGAATTTCGTACCATCAAATGATGACGAAAGTTCAGATACAAGTGAGGTATGTATTATTTTTGTTTTTGTGGCTTATCATGTTTTACCAAAACAAGACTATCGCGAATTTGAACGTGGCTTATCATGTTGTTGCTATTAAGAATATTTAATTTCAGGAAGGCGACTCACCTGTACCTACTAAATTATCAAGAATAACTGAAACTACACCCGAAAAAACTCCGCAAACTCGTTGGAGACAAAGAAGGGACGAGAACTATGAACAGGTGAAAAGGTAGAGAAGACGCAATTTAGGACAAGAATATTCAACAGTAAAGAGCAAGAAACTTGTTAATCCTCGAGAATTGGGTTCACCATGTAGATGCCAGAAGAACTGCCAAGACAAGCTCAGTAATAGCCATTAAAATATCTTCACAAAATTCTGGGATCTAGGTTCCTATGATCTTCAGAACAGTTACCTTTTTGGTGCTATTCGAGTTCTAAAAAAGAAAAGATCTTACAAGAAAAAACAAAAACATCAAGAATCTAGTCGACAGTTTACAGCTCAATATATTGTTAATGTTGATGGTAGGGATGTCAGGGTATGTAAGGTCGAATTTATGAGTGTCCATGGACTGCAAAATTGTCGAGGCAGAATCGACCATATTGTCAAAATGAAGACAACCGGAGCTGTTGTCCCTATAAAAGACGGACGTGGTAAACATAAAAATAGACCAAATGCACTAAGCGCTGACCAAAAACAATCTGTCAGAAATCATATAGATGCTATACCAAAATATCAGAGCCACTATAGCAGAGCAAATAACATCAACAAAATGTATCTTAACTGCGATATGTCCATAGCAAGCTTGCATACGGATTATTATGTTCCGTGGTGTCAACAACAAAACATTATTCCAGTGAAACAAAGTGCTTACCGTAAAATATTTTGCACTGAATACAATATCGGTTTCAAGCTGCCCAAGTCTGACACATGTAAAATATGTGACGAGTCAAAGATCAAACTTGATATTGTCAAATCAAACAACGATGACAAAGAGGAACAAAGGCTAACTACTTCCTTGACTTTACACCAAAATAGAGCTAAAGCAATGCAAAATTTGCTGAAATTAGAGACAGACCGATCAAAAAGTACAACAAACGTATGTGTTATCAGTTTTGACTTACAGCAGGCAATGCCTATACCCAAGCTTACAACCGGCCCTGCATTTTATTGCAGAAAAGTTTGGCTCTATAACCTTGGAGTACACGATTGTACTGCTGAACAGGGTCACATGTTTTTGTGGACAGAAAATCAAGCCAAACGAGGAGCGGATGAAGTTGCTTCTGTACTTTTTAAATTTCTTAAAGATAAAAAGGATGTAGATCACCTTGTTGTATTCACGGATAACTGTCCTGGTCAAAACAAAAATTGGCAACTTATGGCATTTTAGTTGCAGTTAGTTAAAGAGAAATGGTTTAAAACAATAACACATCATTTTCTTGTTACTGGACATACCCACTTGCCGTCGGACCTGGACTTCGCGTTGATTGAAAAACGGCATAGAAAATATGCTCCTGAAGTGTATTCCCCAGAAGGTTGGCACAAAATCATCAAAGATGCTAACAACAAGAATCCTTTCAAGGTCACAGTTATGCAGCAAGAAGATTTCCTCAAATTTGAACTATTGTTGGCCAATGTTCAAAAGAGTACTCGCATGAGTAACAAGGAAAATTTAGACTTCTCTGGTGTATATACCTTCCATTTTAAAACAGAAAATACAAAATCTTTTTTTGTTAAGCTCTCTGTAAACGGTGAGTATAACGAAGTGGATATTACAAAAAAGGGTAGGCCTGTGAATACACCCTTATGTCAGCTGAAAAATAAGTACATGGAACCTATAAAAATTTCAAAGAAGAAACTTAAAAATGTACAATCTCTTTTTCCATATATACCCCCAATACATCTACCCTTCTTCAATGGACTAACCTCCAGAGAAGGTGATGAAGAAGATGTTGAAATCGTATAGCAGAAAAGTGCGGTAGAGTTTAATCCTCATTTCCTTATAAAAATATTACTGTATTTTTTTTATAGGCAATAATATGATAATCCACATTGTTTTTGTAAAAAAATTTTTTTTGGGATATCAGTTGTCTTTTTTTCACTCTTCCTCAACAAATTCAACAGATACGGATTTAAAAGCCTCAAAAAAATTATTCTAGTTTAATTATGATAAACGTTGATTTTTCACATTTTTCCAAAACTTAAAAGTCAAATAACTCCTTATTATGCTTTTATGGCTTATCGCGTTATTACAATAAGCCCTTCAATTCCAGAATGGATAAGAAAAAGTGGATGCGCACTAATTTCTAGCTTTGAAGCTCAACTAAGTGTATTTGAGGCAAGAACCCAATGTAATTATCATCAACACATACGACTTACAGCTTAGACCTCCAGTAATGCCATCTCAGAAGCAGAGTTTACATCACATCAAAGCCAAAGATTGATAACAAGCCTCATGACGTTTAGGGAACACGCACAACTAAGTGCTGAGTTGATATCTTGTAGAATAACCTACATAATGTCAAAAAAACCAGCGTAATGTCAAAAAAAATCGGCATAATGTCACTTTTCGAGTTACGTGATACCCCTGCCGCACCTGCTACAACTGAGCATAAGTTAGTAGTCCGTAGTTGACATCTTGTAGGAAGGCCTACATTATGTCAAAAAAACCGACACAATGTCACATTTCACGTTACGTAGTACCCCTGTCGTATAATTTCTTCTAACATCAAACCCTACTGCGTGCAAGTGGTTAAAGATGCAACGGGGGAATTCAAGACCGGGTATTAATAGTATTTGAAAACAAGTATCTTGAAATATAATAAAGATCGTCTGGTTAACGGCCTGTGGTGCTTAAATTGTATAGTATTTGTGATAGTTTATCGGATGAATCAATGCGTTATGGTCTTTCTCACGTTTTGACATCCACTGGCGTACACAGCTAATGAGCAATTTAGAACTATGTATACCAAACACAATTCCGAAACTGCTTATTTTGCTCTACTCCTGTTTGACTGATACAGTCACGATCATTAGCATACATTTCGCCTGTAGAGCCGATTCTTGTGTGCTAAGCAATTTTCCTAAGCAAAAGTGTTGTAGGGAAGTATGAATATAAAAGATCACAACACTATAGGATTCTGCCTACAGATCTAGCGTTGACGGATCCGTCAGAATTGTGTAACTTTTCGATATGCTACAAGCTAATTAGCTGTTATTTGCTGCCACTTTTAACGTAATAGATTGTCGTGAAAAAAGGTCTGTGAGAAAATTATATTAAGCATGTTACACATTATCAGATACCTTATTATTTCCAATCACCGTTTTTCATGAGCCTGGGACTAAGTGGCGTGTAAAAGTGTTTTAAAGCCCGTATAAAGACCAAGACAGATAAAAATAATCTTTACTACCGTCCCTTTACGTTTTATCGTAAAGTTTTTCGCTGTGCCGTTAAACGCTTTAGGAGATTCTATTCGTTTACAAAGTATCCTCCCTATTTGAGTGAAACAGCAAGGTTACTGCCTGGAATCAATATGCATTACGACCAGCCATTAAATATTTCGCCGTGATCCTGTTCTGCCCATTTTTACTATAGCAACAAAGTTCAGCGAGTCCAATGTAAAAGCTGTAAACGCGTAAGTCCGTAAACGAGAGCACTTCACGCTCGACATCAACATGGCTTTTGGTCCTGCACGAGTATCACGTATCTTAAAAAGTGGCATTATGTCAATTTTTTTGACACTATATGGGCTTTTTGGGACATTTTGTAGGTTTTTCTACAAGATGTTAACTTAGCACTAGCTGATGGACACTTGTTGTGAGCTCGTTTTGTAGCTGTACGTGTTGCCTAAACGTCATGATGCTTCTGATATGGCATTATTAGAGATCTAGGCTGTAAGCTGTATACTACAGCTAGAAGAAAACGGCAGTGCATAGGTGCACAATCAGTTCCAGTTTCACTTACTTGAGATTCAAAGCTAGACATCAGTCGCGCATCCACTTTTCTTATTCATTCTGGAAATTACACATGCAAATTTGATGAACTTAAAAAATGAGAGAGATAAGAAAAGAAAACCCCAGGTTGGTGAAGTAACATGCGAGAAAATATGCAACAGATAGGAATATGTATGAAAGTGAAAGGGTTATTACATTATTTTTTGCTGCTGCAAACGCTCCATTTTCCCTAGGTTGTCGAGATTATGGAATAATCTGCCTGAGGATGCATCGCTCAGTTCTACAAGCCTGTCCAACGATGATTTGATATTGACTAATATGCTCCTCCTTATACCCAAAATTGTTACCTCCCCATACTGTGTAGGAGTGTATGGTAGGCTGTAACCAATCCACCGCTTGCTTTTTTTTCCAAGTAAAGATGTGATTGGTTGTGCTATGTGTTAGCCGATAGTTTTTAACAAAGAACGAACTATAACTGAAAAGCTAGGTACACAAAACTTTTTAACCTCAACATCACGGAAAAGCTTGTATAAAATGTAAACAAAAATATGAATTAATACTCTCTATATTTTACTATTTTCCGTTTATTTCAGTTTTACACATTGCTATTTTATCACAATCTATTGATCAATCAACGTATAGCCGAAAATTGGAAAGATTAGCTTGCAGTTGGGAATAATAAAAATTTGATTAAAAATTCACTACTATACCTATCCAATTACCAGAAGTTCAGCCTATCAAATTTTAGTGTCCTTTTAGTTGAACTGCCCATTACCTCGACGACTATTAATAAAAACTAATAAATAGGTTAAACGGGTTCGAATATGTATAAAACATGTGAGAATCCATAAATAGTTGTGCTTGAAAGCTTTTTCGTTAGAAGCAATATTCAGTCCCTACATCGATAGGTCACCCTGTAAACAGTACATCTATCCATGTACTAGGGCATTATATCCCTTCTTACCCTACCTGTTACAGTCAAGGCATTCTCAGATCCCTCTTGATAAATAACTCCTTCCCTTATTCATCGCAGGGCTGCGGCACTCCATTTTATAGCAATCCGTAACCATCTTATCCAATATTCATTCAGCTGCTCTTTCGTAAAAAGCAAACTTTACCTTCTCCTTCTCCCAAATAAATTTGTGTAAAAGGTTCTCGATAAAATTTCACGCAACATTTTCCTCGGGGAGAGAGGGAAGATCGTTACTCCGAAATCACCGTTATTATTATCATCAAAAGTTTTCACACACCTGCGTCATTGTTGGGCCCTTCTTACCATTAGTCAAAGTCGTTTGAAAGCGTTTTAAGAAAAAAAAGGTGTAAAGACGTGTTCAAGGGAGGAGGAATTCAACGCTCTGGAGTGAAATAATAAGCTTGGTGGACAAAAATCACGAGATCAACGTTTCCTATGAACCATTAGTATTTATCATGGACATTGTATGTATTAACTGTGTAGCCAGGATGTCTGTAATTATTGATGTATAAAGCCACTGACACTGGATGATTAATAAATACTGTTGGTACGCACCACAGTAAATACTAATCATGTAGCAGCCGCCATTAATCCTTAAAATGACTAGTGTACATATAGATTCCACAAAAAGGCATGGGTTCGGACTTAGGTTAGAGCTACTGAGGAGATGATGTCACAGAAAAATGTTTCGTCGACTTCAAAGAAGACCTCACTCCGTCTGGACCTTGGAAATTATTGTCATAAAAACATTCAAGTTGTATACTTTCTTACACAGTCCTCAAATGAAGTCGTCTTACAGAAACCTATCAAGAGTAAAATTTTAAATGACAGTGAATATTTATTAAAAAATGCGAAACATTGGAAGAATTACACATATCTCCTGATATTGATTTATCACAATAACAAGTATAACAATTCAATGGAAAAATTCAACAAGGTTTTGAAAAAATTAATTTGTTTCCCCCCTTTTCAGCATGACAGGTCTTTGACAACATGAAACAATTTTGCCAAGTGGTTACTCTTAAATTACATCAAAATATAGTTAGGAATTTTTT